CAGCTGTGTGATCTACGGGTACTGTTATGCGGCCAGTGTTTCTAGCCATTCACAATAGAAGAACTTTTAAAGTTTCCCACTCGGCTGACGTGTCAGCAGTCGAAGCCCCCATCCCTCACTCAACACCGTGGCCTCAGCATCCTGTGCCTGTTGTGCAGAGTGGCAAGAGGGGTGCCACCTGTGTCACTGGGGAGCTGGAGTCTGCGGCCCCTCCTGGCAGGAGAACCTGCAGTCCCGGCCCTTGCTTACTCACTGAGAGCCAGCATCCTGCACTTTAGCATCCTGCGAAGGCCTCGGTGTTCTTGTTTTTAGGCTTAAAACTTTTAGACTCTAGTGTTTCCCTGAGGATGTGAGGGTGATGTAATAAGCCAGTTGCCAACAGTCTTCCAGCCCCGTAAACTGACAAGTTAAAACCTTGCCTGGGGAACCGTTACTGCCCAGCGTTTCTTTATGCTGGCACTTACAAAGTTCTTATGCTGATTGAATTGACCTTTACAGTGGCACAGCTAAGAATAGCAGCTACAGAACGTGGAAACTGTTAAGAAAATGTTCTTTGTCTCACAGTTGATGCTGCCGCCAAAGAGAGGGTGTAATGTCTTACATATGTGTAAAAGGCACATCATTCAGCCTTTTCTATCGTGAAAATGTGCTTTCTAGCTTGATGGTGACCTTGTTTGTTTCTTCTGTGTGCTGGTGTGTGTGTGTGTGTGTGTGTGTGTGTGTGTGTGTATGTACACACGCGTGTGTGCATGCAAGGTTTATTGGAGCCTTCCCACTGAGCTCCGTCCTTTTCTCAGAGATAGGTTCTCACTGAGTTGCTCTTGCTTCATCTTCCTTAGGTGCTGAGATGACAGCAGGAACCAGCACCTGTGGCTGTGCTGATGGATTTAGTTTGGTGCCCACATGTCTTTTCAGTGACCTGTCTCGAGGTAGCCACTTGGGCTAGGCTGAATGCCCAGACCCATGACAGGAGGATCTGGTAATGGGATGAAGGGCAGGGCATTAGAGAACTAGCTTCCTTCCTTCCTTCCTTCCTTTCTTCCTTCCTTTCTTTTTTACAGCACTTGGTTTTAAATAAAAAATTCCTTTTCCACAAATTCTGTGTTTTTAGCGTCTTTAAAAACAGTTTAGCTGGATATGATGGGACACACCTATAATCCTAGCACTCAGGAGGCTGAGGCAGAAAGAGCATCATGAGTTGGAGGCCAGCCTGCACTGCCTAACGAATTCAAGGCCAGCCTGAACTGCATAATGAGACCCTGTCTAAAAAATACAACAAAAGGTTAAAGGTTAAGCCTTGTTTGTGCAAATGAACGCTTCTCCAGAAGAAGACGTCTTTAGCATGCAGATCTGACTTCCTCAGCTGCTGCGGTCAGTTCTCCTTACCTAATTCCCAGTCTTCTTCCAGCCAGAGCTTTGCTCTACCATTTTCTCTCCAGATTGTTCGCTCCATCCCTCTTTGCCACTTGTTTGCCTTCTGACTATCCTGTCGCCCTCGGTTCAGGCTCACCTCCCTCCCAGAAGCCAGATTGGGACCCCTTGGTTAGTCAGCCTAGTCTCGTGTCAACTGTCTTTCTGCGGACCACAGGCTGTGTGGGAGTCCTGTCAGCTGTTCACCTGTTGGCTTCTCTGTCCCACTCAGTGCTGGCATACAGCAGGGTGCTCAGGAAGTGTAGAAGGGAGGATGCAGGCCTCGTGTCCCTCTTGGTGAGGGACCTGTCTGCTCCTCAGAAGATCAGCACAATGGCAGCTCCTGAGCCAGGGAGGAGCGGCCCTGAGCACCCTGCCCCTCTGAATGCTGCACAGAAAGCCAGGTACACTATTCCCAGGTCCGGAGTGCCCAGGCCAGGCCTGAGCTTTCTGTCAGCCATGAATGTGGACTCTGTGTGATGGGGATTTTTTATTTAAGCAGCCAGGTGTGGGGCATGTTCCTTGACCTCCTGGGCCTTAAATCCTGGGCCTGCCCAGTTACTGTCGTGTTCCGGGGAAGACTAGCCAAAGGCGTCGGACAGCACCCAGTGTTGGGTGCTGGGCTGGTGGAGGCCACTTGGCACAGCCTCTCCTGGCACACCACCCTCCTGGGGAGGGCAGAGGGGTGAGGGGACCCAGTCTTGCCCACAGTGAAGCACAGGTTCTTCTTCAGCTCACTCACTGGTGAAAGGCAGGGTGCAAGGCACACCTCGTGCCCGCTCTTCAGGGCGTCACATGTAGCAGGCTTGAAGAGGCTTTGGGGAGAATCACAGGTATCACAGAGAGCACCAGGAACATTTCACCTTAACCTGCTGCATCGTCTCTAGTTCCCTTCTCTCTTCCTCGCTGCCACAGTGAGCCTTGCTGTCCCAAAACAAGGCTAGGTGAAGGTCTGGCATGGCCTGGGTGCCCTTTGGTGACTAGCAGGGCAGCTCACTGAAGTTCAGAGATGCTGTCTTACTTAGGGCCACACAGCTGATAAGCCTGGTGTGACAGCTGGACCTGGCACCTGATACAGCTGACCCTTAACCACTTGAGCCTTGGATTCTGAGCTGCCTGAAAGTCTGCAAGTCCTCTGAGCGCCCCATGTTTGGGCTCCTCATAAACAAAGGGCGGACAAAGGGCAGGCACCAGTCCCAGACTCCTGCCCCTCTACGTTTCAGAGCTCTGCTGGCCCCAGGTCCTGCTGCCCCAGGTGCTGTGCCTGAGCTGGTGAGGGAGTGGGTGGGGTGGAAGTGTTGGGGCAGACAGTCGGCCTTGGCGACATTCAGAGCCTAGTGCACCTGCATGCACACAGGCCTTAAGCTCAAAGAAGAAGTTGGACTGTGTGGGGCCATCACGTGGCCTGCCTGAAGTCCTGCTCCTCTGTAGTGGCAGAGCTGGGCCCAGCTGCAGCTACTGGGTTCTCATGCCAGTGGGTCACCTCAAACCCCTGTGTTGTACCCTACATTCGCCTTTTCACTTCCTCATGTGGCCCCTGCTCTGAGTCCTTATGCCCCCTAACTGCCTGCCTTCTTTTCTTCCCCATGTAGCAGAACAGGTCCATTCCTACAACTAGGCAGCCTGGCGACTGCATTTGGGGGAGGTGGAGGAGTTCAGGGAGCCGGAGAAGCAGGGTTAAACTGTGCTCTTCTGGGGAAAGAGAAAAGCTGGCCCCAGCACTCGTGCGGGCAACACTGGTTCAGATCTCTGCATTGGCTTACACACCTCCCGTGCCTCACTTGACTGCTGGCTGCTCTGGGCTCAGAGCCCGCCTCATGGGTTAGCTCCCCACCCCCCCCAGGGGTGCTGGATTCTGTCCTATGGTGGAATATCACCAGCTCTGCCTTTTGAGAAACCATGAGGACAGCATAGGGCCAGAGCAGTGGCATTTGTAGGGTATGGTAAACGGGGATTGAGCCTCTTAGTATCTTTGTGAAAGGAATATCTTGCTTTGAGGCCAGAAAGGCAACAAGCCAGCTGTTTTGTCCCAGGCCTTCAGGAGGCCTCCCCTGAACACACTTTTAAAGACAGACCCCACAGGGCATGCCCGAGGATCTCGGGCTAAGCTGGACACCCGCTGGGCCCTCCCCTTTCCCCTGTCTTTCCCTGTGGCTTCAGGGGCCTATGCTGTTGCTGCCTGATCTCTATCCTTTTGGATGTCACTGTCACTGGAGTCCTTGTTTCTAACGGGGCCAGGCCTGGAGAGGAGGACCCAGCCATGTGACCCAAGTTCCCACTGGCAGCCGTCCACCCGGATGTGCGCCATAGGCAGGGTCAGTCTGAATAGTTGAAAATACAGTCCTGCGGTTTGAGTTTCTTTGCTGAGCTGGGTTTCCTTCTTTATTCTGAGCTTCCTGAAGAAAGAGAGTCGCTTCCTCAGTTTGTATCCCTTTTATCCAAGACAGTGCTTGGCACAAAGACTGGATCCAGGAGCAGAGAAGTTTGGGAAGCCAGATACACAAGACTTCAGCCTTCAGCCATGCATGACATGACACACCCACAGTACAACTGGGCTGAGGCTGGGTTTGGCTGGGAGTGTGTTTTGCACCTTGAATGTGAAATGTATTTTTAAAAGGTGTCCATCTCAATCCCCATCCAGCAGCGCTATGAATAGGATCTGGCAAGCAGCTGGGTGGTTACTCAGCAGTGCCCTTTATGTTGCTGTCCCTGAGGGTGAATCCTTGAAGGTATCAGATAAGCAGAAGTGACCCCCAAGGTGAAATTGGACCAGGTCACTGGCCAGCTCACCTGTTTCTGAAGAGTAAAGAATTTGGGGGGCAGGCTTAATCCCTCTTTTGAATCTCACTATAAATGACCTTGGGGATCAGAGCAGGGAGTGTGTGTTTTGAAGGAGGAAGTGACTGACTGGATGCTAATCCTTGAGGCCCTACTGCATTGATTGTTCCAGGAAGTTTTGTAGAAGAGCTGGTTTTATTTAAAACAGCGCTGATTCCAGGAGAATCATCCCTTCCTAGCAGCTGAATAATGCCCGAACACCATATGTTTCTGCTGGGACGTAAAGAGAAGGAAGCAGCCTTTTCCTGTCCCAGCTGAGGGACCTCGCTCTGTATTGGCTGGCTTTGCCTGGTGGACCTCCCTCCCCACTTAATAATCCTTCGCCCTGAGCTGTGCCCCCAGCACTTTTTTATATGTTGAGAGAAGGTGTTGCTAAGTTGTAAGTTGGCAGGTTAACCATGCTGGGCCTGAGCTTGGGGTCCTCCTGTCTCAGCCTTCTGGAGTATGTTGTATGGTTCTTTTTAACTTTTTTCCTAAATGAAATAAGCTTTGTGGATGGACAGGCAAGTGACCAGGAGGGGGTTGTGTGTGTGAAAAAAATTGGTGATTGGTTGATTGAGACAGGTTCCTGCTATGTAGTTCAGGCTGGTCTTGAATTCACTTTATAGCTCAGGCTGGCCTTGAACTCACAGCAGTCCTCTTGTCTCAACCGCCTATGTTTTGGGATTACAGGTGTTTGCCACAATATCCAGCAAAATTGGTAATAGTTCTAGCTTAGTATATTAAAGTGCTCCCTGACTTTTGTTTTTTAGGATAAGGAAGCCTGTGTGGGTACCAACAATCAGAGCTACATCTGTGACACAGGACACTGCTGTGGACAGTCTCAGTGCTGCAACTACTACTACGAACTCTGGTGTAAGTGCCTGCCGGGGCTCTGGGGTCCTGCCTCTGCACCTTGGGGAACCAAGGGCAGCCTTTCATGCTTCTGTTGGGATAGCACTGGTGAGCTGTCTGCTTCCAGATTCCCAAAGGGACTTCCTTGTAGAGGAGCAGGGCTGTGGTGCACTAGAACACTGTGAGCTTAAGACGGGGCCTGAGGCTGGGGGCCGTGGCTGCCAGCCTGCTGCCAGTGCTCCTGCGGGTTCCTCTTTCTTCTTTATTTCTTCCTCTTGCTCCTCCTCCTTTTTTTCTTCCCCTCCCCTCCCCTCCCCTCCCCTCTTCTCTTCTCTTCTCCTCTCTTCTTTTCTTTTGCAGTACCAGAGGCCTTGCACAGGCTAGGCAGACACTGCCACTGAGCTACTGAGCTATCTCCCCATCCTGGGGTTCCCTCTTGCCAGCACAGAGCCCTGGCTTCTGTCTCCTTCCCCACACTGCTGTGAGCTCTGGGCTTAGCTTTCCCAGCCAGTAGTGCTGCTCTGTTGTAGAAACCAGCAAGGCTTCCAGAGCCCCTATGAGAGCCTCCCAGAGCTGCCTCGTCCTGAGGGCCCTGCTCAAAGCACAGCATTCCCCAAGGTCTCTGCTCTGGATTTCTTCTGTGGAGAGGGTGTCTCAGTCCCTTCTCTTTCCTCAGCTCAAGCTGAGGCATCTGGAGCCTCCCTGATACACATGGCCTGCTGCCATTAGCTAAGTGCCTGGTAAAGACAGCCTCTGGGGCCCCCTGCGTTTCCACAGCCTCCTGACAGTCCTGGCCTTCTTGTGGCCTTCGGGGAGTTCCTCAGGGTGCCTCGCAGGACTCAGACAATGCTCCGGGCTGCTAGATAGAGAGGAGGGTCTTAGCATGCCTTTGGGCTGAGGGCCCCAGTGAACCCACACTGTGATTCGCCACTCTTGACAGGAGACAGCAGACTGTAGCCCTGGAACGATTGTGAGCCCCATCCCTGTTTCCATGTGGAGATGACTTGAGGTTCCTTTGTTAAATGGTGCCCTTAGCCCATCATCCCTGCTGCCCTTTGCCTTTCTCCCTGTTTCCCTGTGTCAGTGGCTAGGACTATTGTTTGGCCTGGCAAGGACATGGGGCTCCTGGCAGAGAAGCCTCTGCCTGTGAAGTGCAGTTGTCTGGGACAGCCAGCGGGTGGGTCCGCCCAGCAGGCCTCTCCTGCAGCCCTGCCTTTCCCTTCCAGGGGCGGAGGGCTGAGGATTTCCAGGCAGTGCCGTGCCAGGGGGACAGTGCCCCACCAGGCTCCTGTGTTTATAAGCGGAGCCACAGGTGGGCACAGAATTGTCGAGGCTCTTTTAGAAGAGGTGCAGCTAAAAAGCAGAGCAGAGAACACCAAGTGCCTGCAGTGGACTGCACTTAACTGCCTTAAAGTGCAGATCCCCACAGGCTTTCGCTTCTCCCTCCCAGCCTTGTTAAAACAAAAGGTGAAGCCCTGCTGTGCTTAGGTGAGGAGCTGACTTGGGTCACAACACTGGGCTAGGTGGCAGGTGAGGTGGTGGCAGTCAGAAGACCCAGGTGTTCGGGAGCTTGTCTGGGAAGTGGGTTTCACTCCAGGGACCTTGAGAAGGTTGGAGGAAGAGCGGGTGGTTCTCTGTGCAGTAATGGTGGTCTAGAGAGGGAGGCAGCAGACAGAGACAAGTGTCTGCTCAGAGCGGGAAGATTGTGCTGCTTACAAGTTGTAGGTTATTCATAGTCACCAAGTTTTAGAGGGATGGAAAAGCAAAAGTGAAAGCAAAGCACACCTCACGCCTGTGCCCAGCGGTGGCTTCTTAGCAGGTGACGCTTGGGGTCTCTTCCAGCCCTCCCAGGAGCCTGGGTTTTCTGCTTTATTTAGGGCCTGGGCTCCCCCAGAAATGAATGGGAGGTAGGTTGGGAGTTAGAATGAGCCGGTGACATCTCAGCAGAACTGTGCTCTTTGCTGTTTTACACCATGTTCCTTTCATTGCCTCTTATTTGCCAGAGTTGTGAAAGCAGGGAGCTCTGGGTTGGTTGATAAGGAAAACGGTCGGCGAGGAATGCTGCACTGCAGCTATATTGGCCTGTGAGGAAAGGCCTTTGGAAGAAACACCACTCCCAGTAGCCTTGTTAGGTCTGCTGAGCTGAGTTTTCCTTTGTGCTGAGGAGTGTCACAGCGCAGACTAAAGATTGTTTTGGTACTGGGAATCAAATTCAGTGCCTCACACTTACCAGGCAGGCCCTCTGCTGTTGAGCTGGATCTCCTGCCCTGAAGCCCTAATTAGCAGTGCAGTGATTGAGGCGCTAAACACCATTGTTGTTCTGTCCGTGCATTTGTATGGCATTTGTACTTTAACTCACCATTCTTCTTCTTTTTTTTTTTTTTTTGTACCAGGGATTGAATTCAAAATTGCGTGCTTGCAAGAGAGGTGCTTATGCCGCTGAGCTAACTCCTCAGCCCCAACTCATCATTCTATCATTTAGTTGTTCAACAAACCTTTAGGCTTAATAGTTTTGAACTTCAGTGGGCATCAGAATTTCTGGCAGTTTTCTAGGCCCTACTCCCAATTTGCTCTTTTATTATTTTGTTTCACAGTGCTGGGCATCAAACCCAAGACCTTTCAGAAAGAGCTCCTGCACTAGGGCTGTGGGGCTTGCTTGAGAATAAATGGGAAACAGAGGGCCTCTGTGGGTAGAGCTGTGCCTGGTACTGAGGGGTCTTCACCCTCATCATCCGGCTTTGCCTGAGCGTCTGTCCTGTTTCTTGGGGCTGGGGCACTGAGCCCAGCTCTGCTGGTGACGGCTGAGAAACGTTTGAGCCTTACTGCACAGCTACTCTGCTTAGGTCTCCTACCTCAGGCCTGCTGGATGCTGGTTCCGCTGGCAAAGGAGACTGGGAGGACGGGGACGTCCTCAGGTCTCTCAGTTTTCCTCAAAGCACTTTGCCACTCCTTGAGCTGTGTTCTCCAGGGAGAAGTCCATGCGGCCTGAGATAAGCTGGGGAGTCTTGCCCAAGTCCTGGGTTTCCCTGGTTTGGTTGATTAGAACAGGGCACTAGGTCTGGCTGACCTGACACCTTGTCCATGAATGGGCGCTTGACAGTGGGTTGCCTGACTTTGCAGTGAATTTCCCAAGAGCAGAACCTATGAGCAGATTTTGGACTTGCTCCTGACCCATGTTTGACTGTTTTGGGGGAGGTTAAAAGGGAAATTTAAAGGAAATTCTTCTTATCTGTGGCTGTTGGGTATAAACAGCAGTAGGCTAGAAAATGTACCTTATATCAGACATGGTTCTGAGGTGGCCACATGCTCATGAACCCACGCAGTACCACAGAGATTTTCTCTCGTTTCACAGATAGGGGACCAGAGTCACAAACCCAGAGGAGATGGTGAGTGTGAACTGGGATTGGAGCCAGGCCACCTGTTCCTGGTGCCTGCAGACCCAGTCATGCTTGTTCCTGGTCTTTTGAGGAAGGTGCCTGTCTCTGAAGTCTTCATCTTCTAAATTTAGGCCCTTCCCAGGTGGCGGCAGCAGGAGCCGCTGCCTCAGGCTGTGAAGCGAAGGTGGTTACCCTAGGCAGCTGGCGGCTGCTGGGTAGGGTGGGGCGGGGTGGAGTGGTGTCCACAGGTCTGTAGTGAACTCTGGGGCCCTGGACTCAGTTTGGACCCTGGGCTGTGACTGTTTTTAAAAACGTGTTTTACATTTTATTTAGCATGACAAATGCACCCCCCAGCAAGGGCACAGCTTTCAAAGTTGCAGGCATGTAGTCTCTGAAGGTGTGTTTCATGGCAGTATTTCTGTGTATCTTTTACTAGGTTTCACTTTTTAAACTTTCTTCCTTGTTTCTGAAATTTAAGATGAAAGTTTGGCCAGTGAATAGGAGCTAGTCAGTCTTCTCCCCTTGGAAGCCAGCGAGATACAGCTTTGTCCAGAACATCTCCTGAGATACTGTTTGTGAGGGCCCTGTCAGAATGGCTCCTGCTGACCTCCTGCCCAGTGGGGCTAGCTCGCAGTCACCCTTCCCGAACCTGTGCTGCCATCCTGTCATGCCGCCAAACCCATTGTGGGCCCCCAGAAAAACTGCAGGCCGGTGCATGGTGGAGGTGCTTTCTCTAATGTCAAGTGAAAGGAATAGATGGGCCAAGATGTGGCTCCGTGACGGACATGTGCTCAGGACAGAAGAGGCTCAAGGCTTGATTCTGGGCACATGGGCTGTGCATGAGTGTGTGCACACGCATAGTGCACTGCTGGACTTTCACTGGTTCTGTGTTAGAGTGTAACAGAGGTGCCAGGAGTGGTATTGTACATCTGTAAATCCTACCACTCAGGAGGCTGAGGCAGGAGAATCATCATGAGTTTGCGGTCAGCCTGGCCTATATAATTGAATTCAAAACCAGTCTGAACTACCTAGCAAGATCCTGTCTCCAAAAAAAGGCTATGAAATGATACCTGGGGGGCTGGAGATTTAGCTCAGCAGCATAAGCGCCTGCCTTGTAAGCAGGAGGTTGTGAGTTCGATCCCTGGTACCGATAAAAAAAAGGAAAAAGACAAAAAAAAAAAAGAAATGATACCTGGATTTACCTTTAGGTGAGGAGCCACTGGAAATCTGACTTGGGGAGGAAACATGTAGTTAGGTGCTGACTGTCTAATGGGAGGAGGCATTTGGGAGCTGAGCTGACTTTGGCGGCGTAGTCCTACAGCCTCTGCAGACATGAAGATCACTTGAGCTTGTAAACTCAGGATCACTGCGGGTCGCATAGTGAGCCCCCGTCTCTTTAAAGCTGTGCAGAGCTGCCGGCCACTTCATCTCACTGAGTACGGGCAGCGCAGAGCAGCAGCCAGAGTCATGAGCACCCTGACTGCAGCCCAGCCCAGCCCATAAGCAGAAGGCTGTGCCACTTTGTGTGTCCCTGAGGTGAGCCCCACCTGGGAGGACAGGCTGGGTGGGACCTGCATCAGTGGCCACTTGCCCTGTCCTCTTCTGTGGCCTGACTGCCATGCCTGAGGGTTCTCTAGCATGGCTGTCTGGGGTCTTTCACCAGCTGAGACATCACTGCTGGGTTGAGCCCTGGCTGCTGGGAGCCACTGGAAGCTGTGGAATGGCAACTCGGCCTGCCTTGGCTGGAGGCCAGGGTGTCATCGGGAGGCCCTGTCTCAACTGGATGAGGCAAGGAGACCCCACAGGGACGTGCAGGGGGACAGAGAAGGGACCTTGTCTGACACACTACCAACGACTGCTGAGGTCTTTTAAGATACTTTGTGTATACATGTGAGGGAAGACAGGGATTTATTCATTCACAAGTATTTGGCAGAGGAGAAGCACTTTTTCTTTTTGGTATTGGACAATGAATCCAGGGCCATCATTCTGAGCTCAGGTATTTTTACGGTGTCTTATTTTGAGACAGGGTCTCACTCAGATGCTAAGGTGGGCTCACATTCGTGATCCCCCATCTCAGCCCCTCTAAGTGCTTGAGTTCCAGGTATGCGCCACCCTTCTTGGCTTCCTGAGATGAATTTGTATTGAAGAAGAATATTTTTTCCTACTATAAAGAAGTACATAGCTGAGCTAGGCATGGTGGCACACACCTGAAATGCCGGCACCCTATCTCAACACATTTTAAAAAGGACCAGGGCTAGATACGTAGCTTAGTGCAAACACCCCTGGGTTCAGCCTCAGTATTGAGGGGCAGGGGTGGTGGTAGTGGTATATGTTTACCTTGGAAAAATTAAAAATGCAGATGGAAACCTGTTGCGCTGTCATCTAAAATGACCTCCTGATTGGCTGGCTGGCTGTTCATTTTTTTTCTTTTTCTGTTCACATATACTTTATTTTTTGTGATGTTAGGCATCAAACCCAGGGTCTCACACATGCTAGGCAAATGCTCTATTACTGAACTGTGTCAAACAGCATCTGTTGCACTTCTTGTTTGTTTGTTGCTGTGGTCCTAGGAATTGAATCCAAAGCCTTTGCACTGAGCTGCGTCCACACAGCCCCTTCATTAACTATTTTATTTTGAGATAAGATTCTTGCTGAGTTCAGTCCTTCTGCCTTAGCCTTCCAGAATGTTGAGGTTATGTCTGGCTGGAGATAGGGAGAGTTTGTTCAGAAATCTATAGCAATTTTTTAAAAACATAGAGGCTTGGCATATCAGATTGCACACTACATGTGTGTATTTTTTTTTTTAAACAGGAAAATTTATTGGAGAAAAGGAATGGGGGAGCAGACAGCTCCTGAGGGACAGGAGGGCTCTGGGATGGGTTGCCAGCAAGCCCACCTCGCACAAGTTTTCTAGAGCAAAATCATGAGGCGGGTACAACGTGGATCAAAATTACAATCAACCCATAAGATTGCAGGGGTAGTGGCTTAGGGAATATTGATCTAATGGTAGCAAGGGTACATGGATGCCATCACTAACCTTGGTGGATAATCTGTAGCTTAGTCTAGTAGGTGGGAGAATCTGGACAGCCTGCTGCAAGTGGGATAATGAGAAATCTCAAGAGGGCGATACCAATAATCCCAGGCCTTCCTCATTTCATCCTGTAGGGAAGGGGACAGTAATCCTCAGCTGGCCTCCGGCCACATCCTGAGGCATTCTCGGCCTCTGCACAGACTGAGGCCCGGCTCTGCCCACTTTCACTGTCTGACTCAGCTGTCTGTAATACTCTTCTGAAGAGGTACCCTTTGTTTCCATCTAGCTGCATGGAACTGAGAAGGCTGGAACAGGGGAAAGCGCAGGCAGTGGCCTTCTCCAGAGAGCTGATCTCGTGATCAGATCAGATGACCTCTCTGTGAGATTGGTCTCAGAAAAGGATTCTGGGACATTTGTCGTTGGTTCCATCTGCCGATCACTTAGAGTCTGGAAGCCCCTGAATAGCAAGCACTTTGAAATATCAAGTGTAGCCAGAAGAGTGTTACTTCTTACCAATAGAAGTGTTTTAGTGGTTGACTCCTCCCTTCCAAGTATCTTGCTAGGACCTCCAGCATGGTACAGGGAAGCACTGGATGTCAGATACACCGAGTCCACGTCCCCAAAGTCACAGAATGAAGTCTGAGGAACAACAGAGGTTAAGAGTAGGAAACTCAGGGGCTGGGAATTTAGCTCAGCAGCATAAGCACCTGCCTTGCAAGTGTGTGGTCGTGAGTTCGACCCCTGGTACCGATAAAAAAGAAAAGACAAAAAAAAAAAAAAAGAGTAGGAAAATCTGTTGAAGAATAGGAATGGGGAATAGACAGCTCCTGAAAGACAGGAGGGGTCCTGGCCGGGTTACCCCATACCTTATATTTTAATTTAAATTTATAATCATTCTGTATCTGTGACTTCATTGGTCTTGTTAAAATTAAATCATTGTGAATCAAAACCCATGTTGAAAATAATTAGGATCATACTGTTTTATAATCTGCCTTTTTCATTTAATATCAAGCTGAGTATGGTGGCTCACATCTGTAATCATAGCACTTGGGAGGCTGAGGCAGGAGGATTGTTATGAGTTCATGACCAGCCTGGTTACAAAGTGAGCCCAAGGCCAGCCTGAAATGTATAGTGAGATCCTGTCTCAAAAAGCCAAAAAAACCCAAAAAACCTCTTATGTGTAAAAAAATAGAATTCTAAAGGTAACATTTTATGAATCACTTTTTAAATGATTCATATTGTTTGATTGTATGACTATATCCCCAGAGAAATTTAAAAACCCTATTTAGAAATTCATTTACTAATTTAAAAAATAAAGGCAGTAAAGATAAAATTAGTTAACTTTTAAACCTAATTTGTTTCATAATTTGAAGTTTAAATTTCTCATAACTCTTGACACCTGAAAAGATGCTGTTTTTGTATTTTTCCATTGTCTTTTTCTCCATGTGTGTGCACGCTCAATTTTTGAGCAAAATTGTTCATTAATGTATTTTTCAAAGCCAATTCTGTGGGAATTGAAGAGGGCTTTTCTTCTGGGGTTGCCGAGGCTACCCTGTGGGGATTGGGACCCAGGGCCTCTGGGCTCCCCAGAGCTGGGAGGAAGCAGTCCGGAAGAGGGGCCTGAGGTGATTAGGGTTGTGTGTCGCAGAAGCATAGGTGGCCTAGAGCCCTGGCCTTTCCCTAGGCATTAGTAGAGCCTCTCTGAAGCTCCACCAGCTGCTAATCTGAGTGGGTGAGGAAGGGAGAGACAGGCCCCAAGACAGCGGAAACCCTTTTCCTGGGATCCCTTTAAGAGGAGGAGGGCACTGCCCTGTACGGTCACCATATTTAATGCCCGCGGAAGTCGTCAATATCCCTCCCCTGCTGTCTCCCGTGCCAGGCACTCACTAGCGTGTAGCTTAAAGGCCAGGTACCTGGGCAGGGCCCGGCCATGCAGCACTGTCCAGGCCTCCCTGTTGGCACACTGCCCCCCAGCCGGTCCTCACATGTCACCGCCTCTCTGGGCCCCACCAGGGTTCTGGCTGGTGTGGACCATCATCATCATCCTGAGCTGCTGCTGCGTCTGCCACCACCGCCGAGCCAAGCACCGCCTTCAAGCCCAGCAGCGACAACACGAAATCAACCTGATCGCCTACCGGGAGGCCCACAACTTCTCAGCGCTGCCGTTTTACTTCAGTATGTACACTGGGAGCCCCTCTCCCACCCCAGGGCCAGGAGCACAGGGCAGCGGCCGTGGCCCCTCTGGGTGTGGTTGGGGTGCCCTATCCCTGCACAGATCAGGCTCTCCGAAGTGCTGGCCAGGGCAGCCGCTCCTCAAGCAGCTGCTGTTTCTGTTAGGGTTGTTAGATGGAATGTGATATGTGAGGGAGCTGAGACTCAGAGTGGCCTGAGAGCTTCCTGGCATATCACTTGCCTGGTAGAGGTGGCCATGAAAGGAGCTGGGGTCGGTAGGGGTGGCGGTGGGACTTCAGAGAACTGGGAAGCTTGATGCCTCCCTGAAGCGCATTCCCAGACTTCTGGGGTTCTTTACACGTGACTTCAAGTGGCACTCAAGGCCCAGATGGGCAGTTTATCCCACAATGAAGGGGTCAGTTGCTTAGCACACTGCTTGGCATACAGCAAGTACTCAATAAATGCTAGCAGGTACTGTTATAATGGGATGGTTGTGCCTCTGGGCATGCAGGACATGGAGAAGGTGACTTACCTGGCCTGTTTGCATGGCCTTGGTAAGAGAGGTCCTTCCCTTCCCACCTGCTCCTGATCTGAGCCAAGCTGAGGCTCATTTGTCTACGCAGACCACCTCCAGCCAGCTGAGAGAGAGAGAGCAGGTTCCTAACCTCGCAAGAGAAGCCTCGGTACAGGGCCTAGTCAGAAGGCCTTGAGTTAGGGTCCCTGACTGGGGCTCGAAGACTACCGAGGAACATAAACTTGCCCGCTGGGGAACGAGGTCCATTCTGGGCAGCTACTTCTTGACTGACCTTGTGCCTTACCTCTAGGTGGACAGGAAGTTACGAAGCAGGATTGGGAGTCTTTGGGTGTCAAGCTGGATTAGGTCACCTCCCAACTATCCCTCTCCTCCACACAGTTGCTCACAGACCTCTCCCCTGCCCACAAGAAGCTGTGGTGACCACTTGGTGCCTGTCCTGTGGGGTAGGAAGGGACAGTGCATGTGTTTAGTGTGGGCTTTGCAGCCTGTCCTAGGTGATGGCCAGTACAATAATTTCTCCTCCCTGCCTCTCCATTGCAGGGTTTTTGCCAAACTATTTACTACCTCCTTATGAGGAAGTGGTGAACCGACCTCCAACTCCTCCCCCGCCATACAGTGCCTTCCAGCTCCAGCAGCAGCAGCTGCTGCCTCCTCAGTGTGGCCCCACAGGTGGCGGGCCACCAGGCACCGATCCTACCAGGGGCTCCCCTAGGGTACAGAACAGCCCCTTGTCTGGGCCCAGCAGAAGCACCACGAGACCCCCGAGCGTCGCCGACTCTGAGCCCTCTGACATGCCGGCTGACCCAGCCACCAAAGTCCCCGGAGTGGAGCCTAATCGCTCAGTGGCCGGCCTGGATGAGCTGGATCCAGGGGCCTTCCTAGACAAAGATTCTGAATGCAAGGAGGAGCTGCTGAAAGATGACAGCTCAGAGCATGGCGGGGCACTCCCTGACAGCAAGGAGAAGACGCCAGGCAGACATCGCCGCTTCACTGGGGACTCGGGCATTGAGGTGTGTGTGTGCAGCCGGGGCCACCGCGATGAGGACCTCAAAGAGTTCAGCACACTCATCGGCGAGGCTCTGGATGGGCCCCTGGACTTCTGTGACAGCTGCCACGTGCGGCTTCCTGGCGACGAGGAGGAAGGGCTCTGCCAGCCCTCCGAAGAGCAGGCTCCCGAGCCTGGACACGTCCACCTGCCACGGCCACCCGCGTGCCTGCTGCTGAACCCCATCAATGAGCAGGACTCGCCACCGCCCCAGAGTAGCAGCTCCCCCAGCTAGAGGAGGCCCCACCTGCACAAGGACTCAGCAAGCAAGTGGCGGGCCACCAGAGAAGCATTAAGTGACTTTCCAAGGAAGTGGCCGAGCCACTTTGCTCTTTTTCTTTTTCCTCCTCCTCCTGTCCTCCATTTCCTGCATCTCCGGGTACAGTTCAGGGGGTGGTTGCCTCCCCCCACAGAAAGCACAGTGCAGCGGAGAGCCAAGAGTCGATTCTGACCCATTCCTCACATCTACCTGTCCCCTGCTTCCTGTCGCACCTGCCTGCCTGGGTCACAGATGTGTCTTTAAAGCTCCTGGGAAGGGGTGGCACTGTGCCCTGAGATGATTCTTGGCAGTGGGGAGAATTTGTGCTCTGGTTTTAGTTTAAGAAGATTGTGCTGTGTCTTAGTCCAGGAGAGGGAAGCTGGCAGGACTGAGTGCCCAGAGCAGCTTGGGGACTGTGGCCCGCGACTGTGGTGTCTGCAGAGCCACCACAGGGCTCACTCTCTGGGTGGAGGAGAGCTGTGTTCTCTTGGGTCCAAGTGACACGGCCAGGGCGTCACCCGTGTCCTCGAGGGCCCCTCCAGTGAGCTCTGGCCTGCTGCGGGTGTGGGAGTCCACTGCCTTCTCCCGCTTTGTACTCCCCACAAAAGCCACCAAGGACCTTAGCAGCCAGCGGGCGAGAGTGCTGTCCTGGGCGAGGGAGACTTGTGGTTCTTCGCAGGTCACTCTTCAGAAAGGCCTCGTCCTGGGCAGTAGAGAGCTGCTTCCCGTGTCCCTGTGCTCCAGCTATTCCTGCAGGTGACCATGTCCTTAGCCATCCATGCTCTCGGCGCCCAGGGCTGTGTCTCCTTGCGCCCTGTGAACACAGACTGAGGCGGCCCATGGCCTGGTTCTCACACAGTATTTTCTCTTTGATTCTTAGTAAGTCTGTTGTTGTTTATTTGTTTTAAACTGACCACTTGGGAAAAATACCTTGGTTATCTGTGGTTCTCATGCCCTGATCCTCTGCCTCTGATGTGGTCTGAGGACTCTGCCGAAAGCAAAGGTGGCTGTCCAGTGAGGTGGTCGGGTCTTGGCAGCCTGGCCGGACGTGCAAGGCCATGGCCTTGGCCCTGAGCGCAGAGCGTCCACAGCCTTGGGGACCTTCCTTCTACCTGTAAGTCCCAAACAACTCCCTGAAGTGTCTCAGAAGAAAACGAGTCTTTCCAAAACGAATCTTTCTTCAGCTAACTGACCCAGCAGTTGGGGTCCAGTCCTCTCGTGCCCCTGTCCCTGCCCCTCCCCTTGGGTGGGGTGACTCACTGTATTCCCGCTTGATGAAGCAGCCGCTGGGGGACAGCAGGGTCATTGTCATACAGTTTGGCCTCAGAGAACTAACGGAGCTTGGCTTTGCGCTAGGAACATGCTAGAGGGGACAGCAAGCAGCCAGACCAACATTTCCCAGCCAGCCTGATTCGTAGGAAGCATTTGGTTCTTTTCCTGCTCCTGAACCATGATTTTCAGACTAGATGTTAATGTTACATTACGGGGGGTGGGGGGGATATACATACATATATATATATATATATATATATGTATATATATATGTATATATGTATATATGGTGTGCATGCACGCACAAAAGCAGACAAATCCAAGGTTGTGAGGTGAATGTTTGCTTTTGGATTCCACAAAACCAAAATCCATGTTGAACAAAGTGAAATCTGTACACAGTGACTTTTTGGGTGACTGTGTGTGCGTGCACGTGTGTGTGTGTGTGTGTGTGTGTGTGTGTGTGTGTGTGTGTGTCCAGGCCCTGTGTTCTGTGAAGATACTTTGAAGGGCAGCCCTTCTGCTCACATTAACCACACATCCGAAGCAGATGAGGCCCGCTCAAAGTATTTATTTTATGCCTTTATGTTTACCGAACAAACATCTGACTGTGTGCCTGGGTGCATCGGTGGCAGGGGGGCGGCAGCCTGGTGCTGGCTGCGCCCAGGCAGGTCCCCTCCTCCTCACTGCAGTTTGCACACGCCCCCGGCCACTCGAAGCCTGCATTGTGTCACTGGAGTGGAACTGAGCTCCAGGTGCCTGCCGCCCCCCAGGCCCCTCAGCCTCGCTGTCAGGAGGTCCGAGGACTCTGCCGGAAGCAAAGGTGGCTGTCCAGTGAGGTGGTCGGGTCTTGGCAGCCTGGCCGGACGTGCAAGGCCATGGCCTTGGCCCTGAGCGCAGAGCGTCCACAGCCTTGGGGACCTTTCTTCCACCTGTAAGTCCCAAACAACTCCCTGAAGTGTCTCAGAGGAAAACGAGTCTTTCCAAAACGAATCTTTCTTCAGCTAACTGACCCAGCAGTTTGGGTCCAGTCCTCTCCCTGAAGGCCGAGCTGGCTGCCTGCTCAGGAGATGGACAGCGAGGCCAGGGGCTGGGGGCTCCGCGGAGCTGACTGCAGCCTGTGAGCAGAAGGTTGGTGGCGGCTCCGGTGCTACAGTCTGAAGACTTGCAGACGCAGACATTCCCGCACCAGGCACATTGCGCCCTTGGTTCCATGCAGATGTGTATTTTAAGCAATAAGACTCAGCTGATCACTGTTCTGGGCAATCCTGGTGACACATTTCCTGTGCTGTGATTGTTCTAAAGACAGAGTGGCTCTAACCACTGTGAGAACCTCAAATAAAAATCAATCCCAAAATCCTCCTGTGCTCGCTTCTTACAGTGCTTTGCTCCCCTCGCCCTTGCCCTCAAATTTTGATTCCTGGAAGCCTCAAGGAAGCCCCCAAAACAGGTTCAGGGCAGACTCCACCCTCCCAGTGGTGGAAATGGGACCTGTGAAAGACAGCAAGCACTCAGAAGTCTCTTGTTGATAGGAAATATGGATTGGGCATTTGACCTTGGAATTTAATATGTAAAATATATCTTGAGTCGCCCACATTATGCTGAGTGCTGTTCTAGATACTGAGAAAATGCAAAATGACTATGAGACAAAGCCCCTGCCCTCTAGAACTGAGTTAGGAAGACCAGATGTTTACTGACCCTGTAGGTAAGACTGAAGTCAGTAGTACCTGCTCAGAGACCCCAGGGGTAGCAGAGCCCTTGAGCACCAAGTAGGGAAGCCCCACTGTGCCCATGGCTGTGGGGATCACGGAGCGCCCTTCGTCAACTTTACCCTCTGCTTAAACCTGCCTAGAACTTGCACGAAGACTCTGTGCACAGCCCGTGGGAAGGAATCGCCTGCCACCTCTGCCCAACAAGCAGAAGCCCTTGGTATTGCCACCTGCAGGTTGGCAAAGCAAGGCAGTGCATAGCCTGGCATCTCTCAGAAAGACTTCGTGCTTCCCAGGCGGGGTGTGCACTAGTAGCTGAGTCCCTGGGTCTGTGAGCGTTGTCCTCCTGTTCTTGGAGGTGTACACTTGGCCCTGATGGGTTTAAGAGTCCGGAGTTAGCCAGACCATCCCTCACCCCTGTCTTTGCCCTTGGGCTAGAGGGGTGACATCTGGGGTGTGGCTGTTCACTACCATCCCCAGCTGGGTTTCTCTAGCCCGTGACCTGTGAAGCATATTGACCTCTAGAGATAGTTCAGTTTTGGAACCATAGGAGAGACTTGAAGGTGAACATCATTTCTGCCGTTTTTTATTCATTCATTTTTAAAGCTCTTAACAGTCGAATCTAGGACCTTACATTGAGCTATAGCCTTAGCTCTTTAATTTTTTTTTTAATTTTAAGACATCTAAGTTACCTAGATTGGGGGTCAAATATGCAGTCCTCCTGCCTCAACCTCCCAGAATGCTGGGATTACAGGCACGTCCCACCAGGCAGGGCTCATTCTTAAAAGCTGTTGACTGATGGAACGGCGCCTGTGGGCTGGTTTCTAGTGGCTATGTGTCTCCCTGTTGTCCAGGCTCCTGGATCACCGAGTTCCTCATTCTCCAATGAGAAGTGACAGCTGGGTTGTCTCATGACCCCAAGCGACCAAGTGCTGGTGGAGACCTGATTCATGCCCCAAGCTCCAGATGGGGCAGTTGTGGTGAACAAGACTAGAGAAATTCCCCACACCCATTTCCTGTTTCAACCAAGCTAGGTTGGCTGGACCACTCCTGGCTAACCCTGGTGAGAAGGCTGCAAGGCCCAGAGTCTGGGGACAGCTGGGTGGCCTCACCAGTGCCCAGGCCTGCGTGGTGCCACCCTGTGTTAGGCTCGGGGGATGGAATGCCTTCTGGGCCTGCTCCTCTTCAGAGGAGCTCACAGTGGTCTGGAGAGGAGGCTTGCAGGCTGTTGGTGCCTTAGGCTGGGCTGACTTGCTGTGCCTTGGGTTCTGTGGACAACACTCGGGCTGGCTGCAGAGCCAGAGCGGGCTTCCTGGAGGAGGTGAGGAAAGACGCAAAGGGAATGCTCCTTAGATGTCTGTTCTGCGGGTCATTGAGTACCAACTATGTGCCAGGTCCTGAAAAGCATAAAAAAGCATGGGAAGCCTAAAGCAGGAGTCCATGCCTGTGGTGTGGAAGGCAGCACAAGATTTAATCTTTCCAGGTGGTGACTACGCTCTGGGCAGTGGCCTGAGACACAGCTGGAGAGGTGAGTAGGAAATAAAGAGATTTTAAGTGAATTTGCCATGATGGTGTTACTTATTGGCCATTTGCACAGAGCGGTTTTACACCATGACAATTCACACAGCCAGGCATTGGTAGCTCCGGATTCTTCCCACAGCCTCCTGAGTGTGCTTGGGATAGGAGCGCCTGCACCCTGCCAAGCACAGGGAGGATCTTGTTCCTCCCCACAGGGCCCAGTGAGTGGGAGCCACAGCCTAGGGGGAGTGGTGACACCATGAAGCTCCGCATCCCCACAGCTCAGGCCCAGGATGCTGCACCTAACCAGAGGGCTCCTGCCCCCCACCCCACCGGAGCAAGATTGGTATCCACAGAGGTGCTGCCCACCCTTGGCAGCAGTGGTTCGAAGCATCCTTGTACCTTTTCCTCAAGTTTTTAGCTCTTCCTCAGAAGAAATAAAAACAGAGCTTTCGTGGAAGGAGTAGGAAAAAGAGCTTCCAGTGTGCCAGTGGCGGGAAGAATCTCATTTCTCACCGTGGTCCACTGTCCTTCCATTCATGATTGTCCCTGACACTCAGGAGCCCCGTCCTGCTGGGGGTGTCACCCAACAGTGTGTGTGGGGCCTTCGGGCTCTGCATCCGCTGTGTCCCTTGCTGGACCCCAAGGCCAGGGCTGCAGGAGGCCAGGTCTGTGCCCGCCCTGCCCCTGATCCGGCTGCAGTTCCAGAAGTTTGTATGAAACTCTCAGAATTTTTTTAGATTTGAGTGATAAATTGATGCTAAAAAGTCTTTATTAAGGCACCAAACAGCGGCATGCAGCATTTGATCCTCCAGCAACTTGCTGAGTTTAGTGCTGTTTTATACACACCCTCATACCCCCACACCATGCCCAAGTATTACAGAGAGGGAAATTAAGGTATCTTGTTTTGTTTTGTGTGAGACAGGGTCTTGCTATATAGCCCAGGCTGGCCTCAAACTTGTGATCCTCCAGCTTCAGTCCACCATGCACAGCTGAAAATTGAAATTTAAGAAGCCCAAGTAGGCAAGTGTGGCAGGTGCCTGTGGCCTGTAATTCCAGATTCTGGGAGCTAAGGCAGGAGAACTGCAAGTCTGAGCTCAAACAGGGCAACTTGGTGAGATCCCATCTCAAAAACAGGCTGGGATGGCACAGGGCCAAGTTCTGGGTTCGATCCCCGGCACCATACCCACGTGCAAAGAGGAGAGAGGCCAGGTATGGCCAGGGCAATGGTCACTCAGTTGGTAAAGGACACCACCAGAGGGCTATGGCGGCATCCACACTCTGCCTTGCACCCCCAGCCCATGAGGGTGGTCTCAGAGGGGTGGCTCTTCTAGCTCCCTAGAGCTGACTATTAAATGTTCAGGAATTTGATGAACCACTAACAAACCAAATCTTACGAATGTTAGAAACAAAGGTGGTAAAAACACAAAACGTCTTTTTTTCTGTTATTTCACTGCACGTTGCTATGTCCTTGAAGGTGTTGAGTGTCTGCTCGATGGAAATACCCTACCGCGGCATTTACTGTATGCAGCCAGGTGCCCACAGTAGAATCAGAGACCATGTATCAAATGGTGGTCCCCGGAGGTTAACAGTGGCACTGAAAATTTACTGCCACCTCTGAGGGTCACTGTCCTACCCTACTGTGTGGCTGGTGGCACTGGAGAAAGCAAACCTGTCTCCACACACAGACGCTGGCATCACAGAGGCCACTGCAGTCAGCACATTGGGCCACTGTGTGGACAGTGGAGAACAGTCCCTGATGACCACACCAGGAATGGTCCCATGGGCAGTGTCATGTGATGTAAATCACAGTGCCTCCCCACCCACAGCACAGTGATATCAGGTTATCGGCCACAGCAAACAGTGCGCCCACAGAGAGCTGGACCTTTATTCCCCCACATTATACTACTTGGTAAGGCCAGTCTGAGGTCATAAGGCGAGGGAGTCTTGGCAATGCCCTTCCAGCTTTGCCAAACATCTGGGCTTCCTTCGGCACAAGGAGCTCCAGGTGATTGACGGATCTGGGGCCAGGTAGCCAGCAACAGCGTCTGAAGCCTCGGGCACAGACTCCAGAGGGCACAAGTGCTGCTCTTACTGAAATCTTTGTCCTTTTTCCTGGAGCTCCCTTGACCTTTCTTCTTGAAGAAAACTAGCCAGGAGGAACATGGACTCGCCCTGCTGACCCTTCCAGAGCCTTCTGCCAGGTCAGAGCAGGAAGACTGCCCATGTCATCAGTGACCAAAGCCTGGGCTGCCTGGTGTGGGGAGCTGGAGACCGTGCTTCTCTAGGTTAAGGGCGGGGCTCAGTTTTTCCCTGGACATTTCAGCATGTTCATGTGCAGACTGCCCTGGCCGGGGTTAGAGATGCTGCTTTTAAGATTTCAAGGACTTAGGGCTCCCTCTTTTAGGGAATAGGCTTTTCAGGCTTCTTGGGGTTTTCAAGGGGTGAAGGGGCAGAACCCGGTACTGCTGGAGAAAGCACCTTAACAGTGTGACCCCAGGGCAGGAGGGCAACACATGCTGGTCCTCGGGAAAGAACCAAGATGGTGCCAGCCTGTGGGCTGCATGTCCCTCCAAAGCCAAATCTGTGAAATATATGAAGCCTAGTTCATTTGGATCAAAGGCCCTGTAGCTCTATTTTCAAAATACAGCCCTACCACTTTCACCATTTCCCCTGCTGTGGTCATTGTCAATTTCCTGACCACTATATACCTGCCTGCCTGTTCTTCCTGTTCTCATCTCCTGCCCTCAAGAGCCCATGCTCCCCACAGCAAGTAGGGTACACTGTGACGAGTCCAAAACAGATCGGGCCACTGCCACACATGCTCACTGCTGGCCACTGACTTCCTGCCATGCTTCTGCCCTTTCTGCTGGCCCGCAGAGGCTGGCCAGCCCCGTGCATTTGCCCGCTTCAGCTCGCCAACCTTGCCCGCTTTGAGAACCTTCCCTTTGTCTTCCTCCCCGTGGGTGCACCCGACAGCTTCACCCCTCCTCAGGCTGCACATTGGCCATTCTCTTTCCACATCACTCAACAGAATCAATCTCCCAGGCCCTGACAATCTTTGAAATTTGTATGCATCAGCCCTCAGGAGAACACAAGCTTCATAGGGCCAGGCTGTGTCCTGGGACAGGGAAGGGCACATCGAGGTAAAGTAAGTAAGTAAATGAGCAGCCCGGGACCTGTTGAAAACCTGCTCAGTTTATACACATCGCCTGCCATTGCTGTAGGGGGAAAGAAAGCGTGGAGTGAGGGATGAGGGGTGGTGCAGCAAGGCAGCGGCACTACTGATGGGGCCGAGGAGCCATGCCATGGGTGTCTAGGCGCTGCCCTCGGCCTGAGCTTCCTTCCAGGCCGGGCGCACTGTGATCTTCACTTTGAAAGGATCGATGAGGAAAACTATCTTGGGGATGCCCTCCAGGGACGGAAGCTGCCCACCCTCTGGCACCTCTAGGTCAAACTTCTGCAGCAACCAGGCTGTGATGAGGAAGATCTCCTGGCGCGCCAGTGCCTCACCTACACAGGAGCGGGGCCCAGCTCCAAAGGGCAAGTAGCTCGAGGAGGGGACGATGATTTGGCTCCCTGTTGGGTCCAGGAAGCGCTCTGTGGGCAAAGGGAGGCATCAGACAGGGGCTGGGCTGGGGACCAGGCTGGCTTCACTCTGACTGAGGGGGGAGGTGTACCCGGCCCAAAAGGGACAGCCGGGCCCTCAGCCAGCCCTAGATGATCCAGATCCAGGAGGCTCAGGAGAGGGTGAAAATCCCACTGGCCGAGGGAGGGGCTTCTTGGAGGAGCAGGCATGGTTGGAGGAGTGGGTAGGGGGTGCGGCTGAGAGGCCTTCATGGGTGGACTGCAGGAAGCAGGTGAGAGGTCCACTGAGAGGCAAAGCTGCTAGTAGTGAGTGTGGCAGAGGGAATGGGTGTTGGGTGCCAAGGGTCCAAGCAGATGATGGGGCCCAGGGAGCAGGACAGGCCTGAAAGACACCCACCAGGCATGAACTGGTCCGGCCGGTCCCACTCCTGCTCATTGTGATGCAAGGCCCACAAGTTGACAAGCACATTGGTGTCCTTGTCAATGGCAAACTCTCCAATGCTGCCCAGAGAGGGAGAGGAAAGGGGGTGTCGAGGATGGCTGTGCACCTTCCCAGGGAAAGAACCCTGGACTCCCTTGGTCCCTCCTGTGGCTCCCTCTGCTTCTGCCTGGCAGTCTGAACCCGCCCTCCCCTCAGAGAAACAAGCACTGGTGTTCGCAGGGGTGGGCAGCGACTGGCTGATGGATGGTAGCCAGTGCTTGGCTACAAGTTGACCCTCAGGCTGGCTGGGAGCCAGCTGGGCTGCCCAGGGTCTCTGGCAGTGACCCAGGGCCAGGGTGGGGATCCCTGGGTACGAAGGGTACCTGGAGTCAGTGTTAGCCTTGTGAGGGATGAGGATGGGGGCCACCGGCCTGATGCGGAGGACCTCTCGGATGGTGGCCTCCAGCATGAGCAGGTGGTTCCGGTCACTGAAGGTGGGCGTGCGGCTGAAACCCACATTGTGGTCAATCTCCTCCTGGATCTTCTTCTTCACCTAGGGCCAGAACGAGGTGCAGGGAATGGTCTCTCTGCCCAAGAGAAGCAGAGGCTGCTCAGGGTGCAAGGGCCACGTCTAGAAGTGGCCGCACAGAGCCTTCGCATGGGGCTCTGAGTCTGGGGCCTGGCCCCACTTCTGGAAGTCTGAGCAGCTTGGGGATGAGGCAGGGAAGGCAGAGGATACCCCTCTGCGGAGTGGGGGTTGGGCGGATTGGGTCTGGAGGCGGATGGGAAGCCAGAGTAGGGAAGCCCACCTGTGGGTTGTGCAGCAGGAAGGCTATGACCCAGAGCACCACGGAGCTGGAGGTCTCCACACCAGCCCCAAAGATGTCTCCTAAGGTGGTGAGAATGTGCTTATCTGAAAACAGATTGGAGTCCTGGTCCAAGCTGGAATTGTTGTTGTTTTCATTCACCTTGGCTTGGATGAGCAGGTCTATTAGGTTGGAGACAGAGTCACTTCTGAACTTCTCCTGGGTGGGGGAAGTCAGGAGACAGCAGTGAGGAGGGGGCCCAACCATAGCCCCCACCCCAGTTCCCCCTGGACTAGAGGGGCAGGGCCGGGGCGCCTGCAGTAGAGCAGGGGAGGTAGAAAATAACCCTGGGCCCACGTTCAGTTTTGTGGGGTGCCTTTATCCTTTGACCCTTCAATTTCTCACTTTCCCATTTATGAGTTAGGTCAATTTTTATTATGCAACTACCATGTGTCAGGCACCCTGCGGGCTCTAGAGACCCTGTGGTGTCCACTGCACCCTGGGCCTGCGCCCAGCCCCACCCGGAAGCTCACCTGCCGTGTCACCTACCTTGCACTCTTTCAGGATCTTACTCAGCATGGCTCCTCGGATTTCAGTATACTTCCTTATCATTTCCAGGGTTTTATTGGGGAAGATCTGGAGAGAAGAAAGAGATGCCAAATCTACTTCTCTTTCCTTTTTTTTCCCCAGGCGTGAGAACCCCTTCCAGGGGTGGACCCTACCTTTCTGTCTCAGGAGAGCTCCCTGCAACCCAGTCAGCCCATCAGGAAGGCAAGATGGGACAGAGAAAGGGCAGCCAAGATGGCACCAAGCTAGGGCAGTTTCCCTACTCCTGCCCCATTCAATGGAACATCAAGAGCTCACTCTGCTATGAGCCCGGTTTCTAAATGCCAGGGAAGCAGACAGACCTGCCGGCCTGAAATCCTCCCTGACCCTACCTCCCCCACTGGGAGGCTGAGGCGGGAAGACTGCAAGTCTGAGCTTAGCCTGCACAACTTGGTGACTTGGTGGGACCCTGTCTTCCCACGAATAAATAAACAAAGAGGAAGGGGGTTTATGCAGTGCGAAGATCCTGGGTTCAGTCACTTTACTGTCAAACAATAAAAGAGAAGAAAAGGTAAATGAGTCTGAAGATGGGGCCAGCACACCTCGTGAAGGGGCTAAGCAATGCTTGCGTGGGTACGGAGCACTGAGTACAGCATGCGGTGGCTGGGACGTAAATGAGAACCACTGTCGTCAGCACTGAAGTACACAAATTAGCCAAACCTGCGCATGCAGGGAAGCAGCACCACAAGAGGCGGGTGAGGTTGTGAGGGCCAACATGGGGCTGGAGCTGGGTGCTCAGGAAAGGAAGAGCCGGGCACACAGCCCAGTCTGCCGCGTCTGAGGGTGGGGTGGCTTTGCGCTCACCTTCAGCCAGGGGAATATGTCCACGAGATTGTCATCACTCAGGCTATTCACGAAGCCTGTTGTGAAGCGCCTTATGGTCACCAACTCCATGTCCCCCTCCTTGTATGAGACACTGAAGCAGATCATGCAGATGATGTTGACTACCGTCATGAAGATTGACGAAGATAAATCCTTGACCTGTCCATCACAGGTGGCCAGAAAATCACACAGGGCACTGAGTTCTTGACAGACTGTGGGAGAGAGGGATGGAATCAGCAGCCTCATGGCTTCTACTAGTGTCTTAGCCAGGGCGGCCTGGAGCCCATGTGGCCGCAAGATGGCAGCAGTCACCAGGCAAAGGCCGGACCGAGCCCCCACAGCCCTTCCCTCCTCTCTCCAAGACCCTTCCCTCCCTCCCTCGCCATGACCCTGACCCTGTCCCTGTCCCTATCTCAGCCAGCCCTGCTTCCACTCTGGCCACACTCACTGATGTTCTCCAGCTTCTGCTCACCATCCCTGAACAGGGAAAAGGAGCTCAGGACCAGCCTCCGGTGCAGCTGCCAAGTGGCACTGGAGTCAGCAAAAGCAATGCCCTTCCCATTGTCTGACAGGAGGGCCACAGTGGTCTGTGGAGAGTGAGAGAGGTTGTAGGGATCACACCCGCCCTGTGCCTCCCAACACGTGGGGACACCTGTGTTCTTCTCCACCTAGTCTAAGAGGGCTCGGTAGGACAGCCCTAAGGCCCCTGCTCCTGATTCCAAGGAGGCCTGGGTTTGTCTCTCTGGAAGGCAACAGACATCTAAGTGTCTCTTATCAGTTTCTGACCAGGACGAGGCCGGTGAGCACAGGGTAAGTGCTCCAAACCATGCCGTCCTGAGGACGAGGACCAGGCAGGCTTGTGGAGGCGAGGGCTGCCCTGACCTCCCTACCTTACAGGGCTTCTGAGTGCTGCCTTTACTGCACAGCTGCACACACACCTCGAGCCCTGCTCTGCAGAGCCCACAAGTCCTGCACCCCCAATGCGGACTTGAGCCCGGAAACCCCAAGTCTCCGTCTGTGTCCTCTACCTTCATCCCCAAACCTTGCCAGGACTCCCAAGAGGAAGTGGCAGAAGTAAGCTGGCCAGGCCCTCTGGCTGACTGACCCAAGGAAGAGCAGCCCAGTGTCCTGCCAGAGTGGTCGGGGAGGTCTCCAAAGAGGGTGCTGGGGTGGGAGTATGGGCATAGACTGGGATGGCCACCCGACAGCAAGCCAGGTGGGATCGGCAGAGGTCTCCCCCAATGACCTGGAGCCATGGAGGAAACGGCCTCAGCCTGCTGAGAGCCTGGCTTGTCCTCAGCACCTCCGATGGAGGCAGCTACTGCCCGATTTCGGGATGAGTGACATTCACACTGGTCATTCGTTGAGTACTTTCCAGGACCTGGGTTATGTAGTTGATCCACAGCTTCTCTGTCAATCAGATCCAGAGAAGGGTGCGGCCTCCCCAACCTCTGGGCTGCTGGTTCAGAAGACCACCTTTGAATTCTCCAGCCTCAGGGCTGTTGGGTATGAGGGGTCCCTCCCCTCCCCCTGGCCTGAGCTTCAGGGATTAGGACCTGTGCAGCTCCAGTGGACGGGGGGTGGGGGGTGGGGTGGGGGGTAGGCAGGCTTACCGTCAGGGGCCGTCCAGAGAATTCCTTTCCCTTCTTGATAAGCAACTCCCTGGCCAGCTGGTGGTGGCCAATGACCACTGTAGTTGTGGAGCCCAGACGAAAGGAATAGATGGGACCATATTTCTTCTGCAGTTTGAAAAAGTTCACGTGCATGTGGCCGCTTTTGGGAAGGAATGGCAGGCTGCCCACGACGGGCAGAGAGGGGAGGCTCTTTGGGTACTTGGTACCAGAAGACCCTTGTCTGGGCCAAAAGAGATAAGCTAGGATGAGCCCCAGCAAGGTCACCAATTCCCACATGATAGCTGGGTATCAGCAGGACAGAGCTGCGAGGCAGGAGGAGCTGCAGAGATTCAGAGGGCTCAAGGAGAGCCTTTTAAAGGCTACCCTTCTCCTTGATGTTGGCTTGTGGAAGTTTATCTTGGAGCTGAGCCAGGCATGACCCCTCTCCCGCACTCAGGAGAGGAGGAGCAATGGCGTCTCCTCAAGGGCTGGCTCAGGTCCAGGGCAATCCCCCGGAGGAGGAGCCAAGTGGATAAGCAGAGGCCAGTTACTGTCTTCCCCAAGCTGCTGGTTCACGGGGAACCCCTCAAGTGTGCCACAGGCAAAGGGCATCTCGGTCAGCAATCCAGGCTCGAGGCCCCCATGAGGTAACATCATGGGACAGATAACGTCAGCTGGGCTGCAATTAGCAGGGCCCATCAGGCTCATCAGGGACATGTGGCCAGGGGCTCCCAGGGACCGGTTCTGTCCGGCTGCACAAGACAGTGCAGAACCTAGACAGTGCCAGAACCTAGATGTCCTGACTCCTGGTAACTCTTCTTTCCAGGGCTGCACTGTCCAGGCGCAGAGGGCATGGGCCTGAGTCAGAGAGGTTTGAGTTCAAATTCTAGCTCTCCACTTTCAGCTCTAAGAATGACCTTGTGTGTTACTTTTTTATAATTGCCTTTCCTATGTTAAAAATATATAATATAAAATGTATTTTGTTTGCTTTTTTGAGACAAGGACTTACTATGTAACTGAGGCTGGCCTCAAACTCACAATGACCCTCCTGCCTCAGCCTCCTGAGTGCTGGGATTACAGATGTGCACCACCATGCCTGGTTAAACATATTTTTTTTTTTGGTCCTGAGGAGCAAACTCAGGACCTCAAGCTTGCCGGTGCTTGTGCAGCGGAGCTTAATCCCAGGCCCCCAAATGTATCTTTTTAAACGTAATATTTATTTATTTTGCAGTAGTGGGAGTTGAACATAGGGCCTTGAACATGCTGGGCTACATCCCCAGCCCTTTTTATTTTATTTTATTTTTTGGGTCTTTTGAGATAGGGTCTCGCTATGCAGTGCAGGCTGGCCTTCAACTTGCTTTGTAGCCCCAGCTGGCCTCAAATTCACAGTAATCCTTCTGCCTCTGCCTCCTGAGTGCTGAGATTACAGAGGTGCACCACCACATCCGGCTCCCTTTTTATTTTTTGAGACAGGATCTCACTAGGTTATTCCAGCTGATCTAGAAATTGTGATCCTCTTGCCTTAGCCTCCTGTGCAGCTGGCATCACAGGTGTGTGCCACTGTGCTTTTTATTTTTTTTAACTAATACATAAAAACATAAAAATTCCACATATTAATGGGATGCATTTGATACAAATTTAACATTTTAACTATGTTTAACTTTGTACTTCAGGACCATTAAGTACATTTACTATGCCATGTGACCATTATCCCCAGCTATTTCCAACATTTTTTTGTCATTTTTTTGAAGGTGATAGAGGATTCATTAATAGTAACTCGCCACTTCCCCTCCCTCCAGGCCCTGAAAATCTCTGTCTACTTTCTGTTTCCACAAACACGCTTGTTTCTTACAAGTAGAATCGCCAGCTATTTGGTTTATTTATTTATTTTTTTGTACTGGGGATTGAATTTAGCTTCACATCCATACCCTGGGGATTGAATTTAGCTCTACATCCATACCCTGTGCCCGTTATTTGAAACAGTTCATTTAGTCACTGTGTTATGCAGGCTGGACTCAAATTTTTATCTTCCTGTCTCAGCTTCCCATAGTCCTGGGACTACAGGCCTACATCACCACACGTGGCTAATGTCTGCCTTTTCTCTATGAATGTTATTTTTAACTTTTATGTAAAGCCCTTGCATACGAACTTTCAGCCATAGCAATCTGTTTAGTGTAGAGAAATGCTAGCATCTACAGATAGCGTAAGACTGCCATGCTCTATCTTTAGGGTTGGCAGTTACTTTAGGTGGCATCAGAGCATCGGGGAACCTTGTGTTTGCGTCTATTTATTTTTGGGACTAGGGACTGAGCAACATCCCCTGCATTTTTACTTTAGGCAGGGGCTCCCTATGTAGCTCAAGAACTTGCAACCCTCTTACCTTGGCCTCCAGAAATGCTGGGATTATGGTGGGCGTGTGCCACCACACTCTAGCTTTAGATTTGCTTATTTTTTAAGAGTATATAGGAAGGGATTAAGAGGGTGTTTCGTTTAGTTTTGGAGATAGGGTCTCACTATGTAACCCAGGCTGGGCTTGAAGTCACAGTAAGCTTCTCAATTCAGCCTTCCTCCTGAGTGCTGGAGTCACAGGTCTGTACCCCACATCCAGCTACAGTCCATTCATATGGTATTTTAAAAAAATTATTTTAAATGCATACCAAGCAGCCATGTGGGGCAGAGAAAAGGAATAAGAAGTCTATCTGCCTTTCTCATGAGCCAGCAGTGACCACATGGGGCCAGGAAGAGAAACAGATCACCAGCTCACCTGCAAGTGACAGGCTGATTTGGAGGAGGCTGGGTTGATAGCACTGAGGTACAAAAAGAACTTATTGCTTGTATTGTTTGACTGACGTTGCAGGTCTAACACAGCTAGTCTGAGTATCCAAGGATAACAACATGCAATGTAGCAACGATGGGGGGGGGGTGTCCTTCTGTCTTTTGAAATCCAGTATTATTCTCCCCATTTTGTTTTGTTTTCTTCAATGTTCTATTTTGGTTGTTCTATTCTGTTCTTTTTTGTTTGATTTTATTATGTCTGATGGTATGGGCAGCAATTTTGAAGACAACAAGAGGCATTATGGTAAGTATTGTTGATTTCCTATTATCTTGTTTTGAAATCCTGTATCACTTTCACTGTTGTGTTTTGATTGGCTTTATTCTGTTTTATTTTGTTTGGTTTTGTTCTCTTTAAAATAATAAGAAAAAAGCATACCAGCTATTAGGTATTTACTTTTTTTATCTGAGTTATTTGATAAAATCTAGCTAAGTAATTTAAAAAATTTCACTTTTGCTGAGAATGGACTATCTCTATCAAGCCTCATATGGTCCTTTTTTTTACATTTGCTATGAGACCAATCAGTAAGCAATGCTGTATCCCAATTTAGTACCAACAAGTCCAAAAGTTCTGTTCTGGTCAGGGGCATAAGTCCCTTATCATAAGTCAAACTGTTCAAACCCACTCATCTGTAGAACCAATATGCACTAACAAAAAGGACTATCTTGGTTCTATAGACGAATGGACCTCATTTCAGCATGCATACCCTATACATAACCACCACCCCAATCACCTCTTCTGGTCATGGACATTTCTTGAATTATAGAAACATTACCTAGAAATTCTTCTTCACTGGGTAAGTGTTCTAAAGCTTTTGGAATAAGAAAGTTATATCACTTGAGGATAATATAAGAGAAAAAGTTACAAAGAGTCATGATCAAAAAAGTAAGAAAAAAAATTAAAACAAATTTAAAAAGTAAGAAAATTCTGGGTAGTCACTTTTATTATTATTATTATTATTATTTTTATCAGTATCAGGGATCAAACTCACGACTGCCTGCTTACAAGGCAGGCACCTATGCTGCTAAGATAAATCCCCAGCCCTGGTAGTTGCTTTTAACAAAGGGATTTATAGTTATGGACCTTCCCTCAAGGATCAGCAAGAATTGAGGTGGAGACTATCATGCTTGTGAGTCTGTCATTCTATAGAACACTGCCTCGTATGTTCAAAAACAAATCAAGGTATTCTAGCAAAATTAAAAACTCATTTGAGGGGCTGGGGATTTAGCTCAGCGGCATAAGTGCCTGCTTTGTAAGTGTATAGTCGTGAGTTCAATCCTTGGTACCGACAAAAAAACAAACCATCAAAAAAACGATTTGAAACATAACTTTGCATGTAGAGCCAACAGAAAAAGACAAACAGAATAATCAGAGCAAAAATACTGTATGCGATAGGGAACCAGAGAGTAATAGGAGCAACTGGGCCAGTATTTATGGATAGGTTGGAAAGATAGGCTTTAATAGGTAAAGAAATATAACTAGAGATCAAGTTCAGGAGTGAAAAGGTTCAGAACCACTTAGGTAAATAGCAGGTTGCCTCCGCAACATAAAACCGAGGGTGTTGGGGAGACCCAAAAATGCACAGTACACCCTGGGAAGGGAAAGGGGAGGAATAGTCTTAAAAAAGACAGCAGAAGATATTGCTAATAGTGTATCAGGAATTAAAACGCAGATTACTTGCACCACTCTTCTGAGATAGAACATATTCCACCCCAGTTTGTATACAAGCACTAGATCTGAGGGCACAGACAGCTATCCCAAAAATATCAGGATATAGCACAGTAATCATCATTAATTTCCTATTAACTTAATCTGGATCCCTGTATAACTTATACTGTTATATCATGACTGATGTTAGTTAAATCTGATTTGTTTGATCACTGTTTGTTATTGACAGATTTTATTCAAAACTGTTAAGGTTGATAGCATCAAGTCAGAGAGTATAGACAACTACACTGAAAATGACAATGATTCACTACGATACCCATTCTGGTTTGATTACTACCTGTTTTTGTAGTTCTACACTATCTACAAAGTTGTATTTCTATTAATACTGTTATGTATTGATATATTCAATTATACTTTACCTGATGATATAGCCAATTCTATTGATGATAACAAGAGACAACACAGTAACCATGGTAGAACTCCTTGTTTTTTTTGTCTTTTTCGTTTTTATCGGTACCAGGGATCGAACTCACGACTGCCTGCTTGCAAGGCAGGCACTTATGCCGCTGAGCTAAATCCCCAGCCCCGGTAGAACTCCTTGTACAGCAGTTTGACATGTCTTTTTAGTTTTAGGTGTCTATAGGAATATGTTTTGTTCTGTCCTGCTTTGTTCTGTTTTCCCCTCTAATATAGAAAGGATAGAAATACATGTTAAGACTCATGCTTGTGTAAAACCTGTAAACACTTTATGAGAACTGATCTTATGACACATGATGAAATGAACAAATATTTTGAA